TATATAAACCCATTGTCCTAATTCCAACAGACCTCACTACCTCTGAGGATGCTTGCCATAGATGCAGGCTAAACGTCAGGAGAGAATGCCTCTAGAACATGGCCATATAGCCTGTTTACTGTGTCATACTGTGTTTTTGTGTGAGTAAAATAATAATAATAATAATAATAATAATAATAATAATCTCAAATGCCATCTAGTCCAACTTTCTTTTTCCATGCAGGAAAAGCACAGTTAATTATATATATACACATATTCCATTATATATATATAGGCTTCCCTAGATATTATAATCCTGGGTTGTTGTAGGTTTTTTCGGGCTATATGGCCATGGTCTAGAGGCATTCTCTCCTGACGTTTCGCCTGCATCTATGGGAAGCATCCTCAGAGGTAGTGAGGTCTGTTGGAACTAGGAAAAAGGGTTTATATATCTGTGGAATGACCAGGGTGGGACAAAGGACTCTTCTCTGCTGGAGCTAGGTGTGAATGTTTCAACTGACCACCTTGATTAGCATATAATGGCCTGACAGTGCCTGGAGCAAACTTTTGTTGAGAAGTGATTAGATGTCCTTGTTTGTTTCCTCTCTGTTGTTGTGCTGTTGTAATTTTAGAGATTTTTAATACTAATAATAGGAATATTATATTCCTATTGATGCAGCATCAATCGTATTGGTCTTTTCCTCTGCCGCATCACACTCTTGGCTCATGGCTTCCGCTAAGACTCCGAGACCCCTTTCAGATAATGCTGTTTCCAAGCCAGGTCTGCTTTTACATCTGTGTTTCGCCCACGCTTCACACATTCCCACGAGTATGTTTCCATACTAGGACACTAAGGGAGCGGTAGTTATTTCCGATCGGTTCCCAGAAGGTATTTGTTTGAGTGTGAAAGAGGAATGGTTGAGAGTGATGGAAATCAAGGACTAGCACTGCAGAAGCAAAAAAAAAAAAAAAAAAGGGGGGGGGGACTGCATGTCCCTAATGATGGTAATAATAATAATAATAATAATAATAATAATAATAATAATAATAATGCATTGTATATATTTGGATTTTTATTTTTAATGTGGGCTGCTTTGCATCTCAGTTATGTCAAAGCAGGACATCATCGTCAGTGGCAAAGTTGGAAGGGACCTCAAAGGCCATCTGGTCCAACCCTGTTCTGCCATCTATTATGTCTCTGTAGGTGAAAACTTTCCAAAATTTTCTTCTTTTTAGACTTGCATCTTTTTGCAACACAATAATTCAGCTTTACTAGAAAACCGGAGGCTAAACCAACCTGTTACGAGAGTTCCATACAATATATATATATATATATATATATATATATATATATATATATATTGCATGGAATTTAAAGACCTTGGCCTGAACTTAAACACAATCGGCGCTGACAAAATTACCAGCTGCCAGCTGCAAAAGGCCACCCTACTTGGATGGCCTTTTATTCGTCATATCCGAGCATAGAAAATGAACTATTACTACTACTACTACTATTATTAATATCATTATTAATCCATTTGGACTGCATAACCAATCTGGTGGTGAAATCTGAGCATAGAAAATGAATTACTGCTTGAGAACAGTACGTGTGAAAAAGACCTTGGAGTCCTCGTGGACAACAAGTTAAACATGAGCCAACGATGTGTTGTGGCGGCAAAAAAAAAAGCCAATGGGATTTTGGCCTGCATCAATAGGAGCATAGTGTCTAGATCTAGGGAAGTCATGCTACCCCTCTATTCTGCTTTGGTTAGAGCACTTTACCTGGAATATTGTGTCCAATTCTGGGCACCACAATTCAAGAGAGATATTGACAAGTTGGAATGTGTCCATAGGAGGGCGACTAAAATGATCAACAAGCCCTATGAGGAGCGGCTTAAGGAGCTAGGCATGTTTAGCCTGAAGAAGAGAAGGCTGAGAGGAGATATGATAGCCATGTATAAATATATGAGGGGAAGCCACAGGGAGGAGGGAGCAAGCTTGTTTTCTGCTTCCTTGGAGACTAGGACACAATGGAGCAATGGCTTCAAACTACAAGAGAGGAGATTCCATTTGAACACGAGGAAGAACTTCCTAACTGTGAGCGCCGTTCAGCAGTGGAACTCTCTGCCCTGGAGAGTGGTGGAAGCTCCTTCTTTGGAAGCTTTTAAGCAGAGGTTGGATGGCCATCTGTCAGGAGTGATTTGAATGCAGTTTTCCTGCTTCTTGGCAGAATGAGTTTAGACTGCTTTATGCAGATGCTGCTGCTCTACTCTCTAGAACACCCATTGGGCTCAAAAGAGCTCTGAGAGCATTAATACAACATTGCAACACAGATCAGCTCCAACTCAATTACAATAAAACCAAAATCATGGCTTTTGCTAATAGGCCAGGACTTACTCTTGGAGCATAGATGGTCATAAAATTGAACAAGTTACATCCTTCAAATATCTAGGTGTAGTTTTCCAATCTAATGGTAGCAGAAGAGCTCATGGGGATCAAGTATCCAACACCGCGCAGGGGAGCTCAATTGCCATTCTCAAATATCTCAGGACAAGAGGGGGCCACTTCACACCGGCAGCGCTCAAGCTGTTTGAAGCCAAGTCATTAGCCCAACTCTTGGATGGTGCTCAGCTGGGCCCCTTCCCCAGTTTTGCCCCATTAGAGCTGGTCCAGTCCAAGTTTCTGAGATTGGCCTTGCAGGTCCCTCAATGCGTTTCTAAGGCCACCCTGCGACTAGAGACGGGCTTTATGAGGGTGGAGGCCAGGGTGTGGGTGGCCATACTCAACCTCTGGCTCAGACTATCCCGTGCACCCTTTGGTCTTGCCCCACTAACCATGGAGGATGACTTCCAATCCACATGGAAGCAGGCGGTAGCATCCAAAATCTCCTCATTGGGATTTTCTCCAGGTCTACTATTAGCTATGGATTACAATCAAGCCAAAGCACTTATTAAACAACGTATCACAGACACAGAGCACCAACTAGATCTGGCCTCGGTTCCAACCTTCCTTATCAATGAAGACAGCAGATACCTTGCCTCCCCTATGGCATATTTAACAAACTTAGAGGTTCCCATTCATCGAAGGGCTTTCACCCTGGCTCGATGCCACGCTCTCTCCCATCAGCTGTACTCGAAGGAAGGCCGCTACTGGAAGATCCCTTTCCCAGAGAGACTCTGCCCCTGTGACTCGGGACATGTAGAAACAATAGAACATGTGCTCCTTCAGTGCCCGTTCTACAGGGATATCCGTGCCAGGCTTATCTTACCTCTGATAGACAAGCACCCAGGCCATTCAGGACAATTTTATACCTCCCTGCTACTTGCAGATACTAATTCAGCTACAACCTACAATGTCGCAAAGTTCTGTGCAGCAGCATACACAATCCGCCAGGGAATGACTAGTCCCAAAAGTCAACTGTGTGTCCAGTAATCTTCTTCCCTGAATCTACAATTTGGTGATGGATCTGGGCATTGTATGTTTTTACCACCTGTTTCCCCTTCTGCTCCCTCACCCATATTGTGTTTTTAGTAGTTATATTTATATTTTTAATGTACCAAACATGCCAGGTTTGTCTGGAAATGTGACACTATTTCCTGTGCTGGTCAATGACCGAAATAAATGTTTTGATTTGATTTGAGGTTGGACTGGATGGCCCATGAGGTCTCTTCCAACTCTTTGATTCTATTAATAATAATAATAATAATATCATTATTAATCCATTCTGACTGCATAACCAATCTGGTGGTGAAATCTGAGCATAGAAAATGAATTATTATGGAACCCCAGGTTTCGGCGGTGACCATGGGAGCATTTGCACAGCTAAAGCTTGTGCGCCAGCTGCGCCCGTACCTTGGGAAGTCTGACTTGGCCACGGTAGTCCACGCTCTGGTTACATCCCGTTTAGACTACTGCAACGCTCTCTACGTGGGGCTGCCTTTGAAGACAGCTCGGAAGCTCCAACTAGTCCAACGCTCGGCAGCCATGATTTTAACAGGAGCGGAGTGCAGGGAGCATACAACCCCCCTGTTGCGCCAACTCCACTGGCTACCGATCTGCTACCGGGCTGAATTCAAAGTGCTGGCGTTGGCCTTTAAAGCCCTAAACGGTTCTGGCCCAAGCTACCTATCTGACCGCATCTCTGCCTATGAACCCACCAGGACTTTGAGATCTTCCGGGGAGACCCTGCTCTCGATCCCGCCTGCTTCTCAAGCTCGGCTGGCGGGGACGAGAGATAGGGCCTTCTCGGTGGTGGCTCCTCGGCTGTGGAACGCCCTTCCTACGGACATTAGACTAGAACCATCTCTAATGGTATTCCGCAAAAAGGTGAAGACCTGGATGTTTGTGCAGGCGTTTGAGTAATTTAGTGCAATCTGGTAATGGAACATAGGAATGGAACAATGGACGACGAACCTGGACTACGCTTGGATGATGAGAAGATTGGGTACGGTTGTTTTTCGTAATAATTGTGCATTGTAATTGCTTATTGGTAATTTATGGATAATGTGTTAAGTCAATTGTTATATGTTGCATGGAACCACTGCTGTTTCTACTGTTTTTACTGTTTGTGAACCGCTGTGAGTCGCCTTCGGGCTTGAGATACAGCGGTATAGAAGCAAAGTAAATAAATAAATAAATAAATAAATAATATTATTATTATTCCATTTGGGCTGCAAAACCAATCTACTTTTTTGTCCATCTTTGAGCCTAGATGATTAACAATAATAGGGATGCAATAATAGTAATAATACTAGCAATAGTCCCCAGTTTGGAAGGGCCTTGGAGGCACACGCAGGGCACGTCCCTCCCCACCTGCCATTTTTCTTTGTCCCTTTTTTGTCCCAGGGAGGAGGATGCTGTGCGGGAGAGGGCGCGGATTGGCCGAGCGGGGCGTGACGTCAGCCCGGGCTCCTGCATCCCTCCCGCATCAGCATCACAATCCTGGACCGCCTCTGCCCAGCGCGAGGGCGCCCATTGGCTGGTGAGGGTCCGTGACGTCAAACTAGCCCCTCCCTCCTCCCTCCCTGCCTCTCTCTCTCTCTGCAGTCAGCTGAGACAGCAGCCCAGGCGGAGGAGAAAAGCAACGGGAAGGAGCCCAAACCTTGAGCCAGGAGAAGGAAGGAAGGAAGGAAGGAAGAGCACCACCATGGCCCCTGCTGGACTCAAAGCCGTCGTGGGAGAAAGTAAGGCCTTCTCTCATAATTTGGAATATTTTTCCCTTATTGTTTTTTCTATTGACATTATTTTATGCATTTATTTCTATTATTTTTTTTAATTTTCTTAGGATTTTTCTTATATTTTATTGACAATATTTTTATTATTTTCATTGGATTTTTCTTATATTTTATTGACATTATTATCTTAATTTTTTATATTTTGTTGGCAATATTTTTATTATTTTCTTTGGATTTTTCTTATATTTTATTGACATTATTTTCGGATTTTTCTCATATTTTATTGACATTATTTTTGGATTTTTCAAATATTTTATTGGCAATATTTTTCTTATTTTCTTTGGATTTTTCTTATATTTTATTGACATTATTATCTTAATTTTTTAATATTTTTTTGGCAATATTTTTCTTATTTTCTTTGGATTTTTCTTATATTTTATTGACATTATTTTTGGATTTTTCTTATATTTTATTGACAATATTTTTCTTATATTTTATTGACAATATCTATTATTATTATTATTATTATCTTAATTTTTTATATTTTATTGACAATATTTTTATTATTTTCTTTGGATTTTTCAAACATTTTATTGACATTATTTTTTAATATTTTATTGACAATATTTTTCTTATTTTTTTGGATTATTTCTTATATTTTATTGACATTATTTTTGGATTTTTCTTATATTTTATTGACATTATTTTCTTAGTGTTTTATATTTTATTGACATTATTTTTCTTATTTTCTTTGGATTTTTCTTATATTTTCTTGACATTATTTTTGGATTTTTCTTATATTTTATTGACATTACTATCTTAATTTTTTAATATTTTATTGACAATATATTTCTTATTTTCTTTGGATTTTTCAAACATTTTATTGACATTATTTTTAATATTTTATTGACAATATTCTTCTTATTTTCTTTGGATTTTTCTTATATATTATTGACATTATTTTCTTAGTTTGTTTAATATTTTATTGACAATATTTTTGTATTTTCTCTGGATTTTTCTCATATTTTATTGACATTATTTTTTATATTTTATTGACAATATTTTTTATTATTCTCTTTGGATTATTTCTTATATTTTATTGACATTATTTTCTTAATTTTTTAAATATTTTATTAGACAACATTTTTTGTATTTTTCAAATATTAACATTTTTTTGTATTTTTCTTATATTTTATTGACATTATTTTTCTTATTTTTTGAATTTTTCAAATATTTAATAGACAATATTTTTGGGTTTAAAAATTGGCAATATTTTTTCTTATTTTTGGATATAAAAATATTTTATTAACAATATTTTTTCTGATCTTTTGGATTTTAATTTTTTATATTTTATTATTTTATTTATTTTATATGTTAATATTTTATTGGCAATATTTTGGATTTTTCTTCTATTTTATTGACTTTTTTGGATTTTTTATTTTTTATTGACAATATTTTTCTTATTTTCTTTGGATTTTTCTTATATTTTATTGACAACACACTTTGCATTTCTCTTATATTTATTGACACTATTTTATTTAGTTCTTGGATTTTTTTCTTATATTTTATTGACAATTTTTATTTTTCTTATATTTTAGTGACAATATTTTTCATATTTTCTTTGGATTTTTCTTATATTTCATTGAAAATATTTTTTATTATTTTTTATTTTTCTTATATTTTATTGACACTATTTTTCTTATTTATTTTGGATTTTTCTTATATTTTATTTGCAATATTTTTCTTATTTTTTATGGATGTTTCTTATTTCTCAGTAAATATTGTATTTCCATCCTTTTCTAAAACATTAAATTATTATTATTATTATTATTATTATTATTATTATTATTATTATTATTATTATTTATTTATTTCTCATCCCTGCTGGTTTTCTTCCTGTCTCCCAAATGCATGCATGTGGGTATTTCCATACATTGTGGCTTGTTTCCTGGTTTCTCGTGGCCTTGGCATAGGCAACCTGGCATCTAGCTCCACATATTTTATATGATTTTAACAATTACATTGTTTTTCTATTTAAAGTATTTGTTTATTTCCAAATACCTACAGGTTTTTCCCTTGTTTTCCTCACCTGATGTTTCAAATGAGCAGAAATGTGTATTAAAGTTTTTGTTAATGGTTGCTTCTAGGGCTTTTAGTTGCCCAAAATTTATATATATATAGAGAGAGAGAGAGAGGGAGGGAGGGAGGGAGGGAGGGAGTGGGAGGGATACACACACATATATACACACATATACACACATATAAATACAAACACATGTATTATATAGGTATATGTATACATATATGTATACATATACGTATAAGTGTACATATATGTATTCTAGTTGTCCTGGATTATACACACACACATATATACACACACATACACACATATAGATACATACATACACGCATGTATTATACGTGTACATATATGTATTCTAGTTGTCCAGGATTATACACACACATACACACATATAGATACGTACACACACACATGTATTATATA